ATAAAGCAGACTTCATTATAAGGCAATAGAAAAGACTGTAAACTTCAAAATTACCCTTTCTTGCTGGACTAATGTATTCTAGGCAACATTTATTTATATCAATATTGTTTTGTATCGGTCACTATAATAACGTATTTACTGACATGAAATAAAATACGAACTCGCTGTCATTTAGAATTCTTATAAAATAGTCCAACTCAAATGCCTGCTTACTACTTTTAATAATTATAAGTAGCTTAAGTGGATGCTATTATGCCATAATGCATACTTATTCAATATAGAGAAATAATGTAGGGTAAGTATCCATCATCAAATAAATAGGAAATAACCAATTATTCAAAATTTCAAAGTATGGAAAGCAGAAATAAACTTCTCTTTCTCACACATGTCATCCCTTAACACCAGGTCCGTCAACCTTGTCACGTGAAGCTCCCCTCCTCCTCCCCCTCCCATGTGATTTGTTATTGTTGAGTTCCTTGCATCTGTATTGATTAAGCATATGGGAAAATATCGCACAATGAAATTCAAACACCTTTTCCTCAGGTCACCCCTGTTTAAAGTCTCCCCCGAAAATAGACGGTGTTTTGAATAAGAAACCGCTGCTCTGTGGGTTATATACGCTGTGATTCTTTCCAACGTTATGCTCCAACTTCTTTTTTAAAACAGAAAATTATGGGAAACACATTTCTCAACTAATCTGATCTACTGCCCGAATTTGTTTGTGAGTTTAAATGGAGGAGGGAGGACTTGTCTGATTTCCTCTCTCCCACGAATTTGTTGTTCTCTCCTGCAATAATCAAATTACAATTCAGTAGCTTGGTTGTCCTATCTTTATGATTGCATCAGATAGACAAATTCTGCATTAATGTTAATGTCTGTGGGAATTTTGAATTCTTTACTACCAATTCACTGGAACAGGTCTCCAATACCGAGGGAACGAAGCGTGCGCTCTTGGAAAGTACCGTCATTCGCTTTTATTAGCTAATTAAAAGTGGGCTTTCGCTTACACTGCTCTGAATAACCATGGCGCTTCGTTTTACTGGTTGGTGTTCACTTTGTAATTCTGTATTGAAGTCGTTGCAGTGAAGTAGATTCCTACTAGATTTTCTGTGTTTAGTCTTGCACTTGGATACGTTGTAGTTCAATCATTTTTTCCATCGATTTTCTATATCCATTCGCAGGTCAGGTTGCATTGTGACCAATTGCACGAGCGTCCATATATTTGTATCGAGTCTTGTACTTGTTGAGAACTATCATGTCGATCCAATAAAACGGGTTTTCGCCCGATTTACAGTCTATTTTATATACTTCAATTTATTAGTTTTAACGGCCGACCCCTTTCTATTGTTTTAATCAATTCTCTCCTTTTTATTCATAATTAAACAAAATATGCATCGCTGCTTTCTGGTGAACATTATCTGATTACCAAAACGTCCAAATAACTCGACTCTTCTCAGTAATTTCACCTCCGAAAATAGGGAAGGTATCGGACTAACTTCCACTTTTTATAGATCAATGTAGGATGCATAAATTTCTACCCCCTAAGTCAGATCGCGTGACAAATTTAATAATAAGAACTGTCCCCCTTTTATTTAATTGACGCAAATATTCTGCGCGGAATTTGGAAATACAGAAATTATGTCGTCTCGATACTTATAGTAAAAAATAAACTGCCCTATTGTGTCGCTAATACGTGATCTAGAATTTTCGTTCATCGATCAAATATCAATTCCCCCCCCCCCCCTC